CCAGTGGACTAACAAGATAGAAGGACCATTTGCTTAGGTTGCAGAACAATCAGCTAAAGTACAAAGTAAAAGTAAGAAGTAGGTAGAAAACTAAGATAAAGTTCTGGTTTCAAGTAGTGTTGTCATATATAACATAAAAATTGTCGACTTCCATACAAAGTTCAATCACAAATTTCCGCAAAATATCCTGGAAGAAAAACGGATTTTCTTGGCTTTTCCCTGATGTGATCTGTCATCACATATTGTGTAGATTCGACACCTCCTGCTTTCGGATGGTGTACTAGTTTTTCGCTTTGAGTTGATTAATCAACTTATTACATCACTGTAGAATGGTCGGTTGACTTCATGTAGCAAATATGGCCTGTTACCCAACCGTAGGATTCGCTTCTGGAAGATGAATTGCTGTCTTCTCGGAACAACCCCAGTCTCCGGAAAACAAAGCCGGTTCTGCCACTGATATCTCAAAAACTCAAGAGAAAATTATGCCAACCAATATTAAGCACGTCAGTACAGAACGAAGACGATGCATTTCCATACAAAATTCGAGCATTATCATCTCTGTTGCTCAGAGTGGCAAAACTGCGAAACGAATGGATCAGGGATTTAGAACTCAGAGTAGGAGAACATGCACTTCGAGCCAAACATCTGTAGATTTTACGTTAAATTTCACTCGTTGAAGTACGCTATAAGATGAGAATATGATCGTTAAAAGTTAAAAGCCAAATTATTTCAGGGTGTGTGCCAGTCAAAGGGCGCGTTTGGCGCAGTGGTTGGAGGCGCCACTGCGACACACGTGTGGAATTGGTTCCCGTGCTCATAGCCCACCAAGCCTTCCATCTCTCTTGTGTCGGCAAATTGGTACCAGACTTGTCTGGGAGGATAGTAGCACTGGCTTGATACACCGACAGGCCACCGCGAGTCATTGTAAAGGCCAAATATGTATTCACTCACCTCCAAACGATCCTTCAATGAAGTCGAATACATGCCGCATCCCTCAGGGATTGATCAACGCCGAGAGCTTTAGCTTTTTTATTTACCAGTCATATGATTCATATAGTCGGAAATGTGATAAAAATATCATAAGAGTGCACGTTAGAGAAACGACTGCTTGATTAATAGCTAGTTCGTAGGACGCTTCTGTCCTCTAAAAAAAAGACGCTCACGAAGATTTCGTGAAATAAAGCGCCATGGAATTTCTGAAGATCTACCGATCTAGAAGTTTTTCTAATGGCGCCATATAACCTAAGCATGGGCACTGAAGCGAAACCAAACCCACAGTACTCAGGTAGTTCGAAAACTTCTGCTGCGATTCAAGGTACTAGTCTAGAGGCTGTGCATAATTTAACGTTACAAGTTGACAATCTTTCATTTAAATGATATTGGAGAGGTAGAAAAGCCAATGATGGTTAGGTGGATGGGACGGGATTTATGCCATGCTTAATATTACCGCCGTTTTGAAGTGTGTTCTGACCTTCTTTCAAACGGCTGGGAAGATTTTTAAGAGGGAAGGGAAGATAATTTTTAGGTGTATTCGCTGCATGTGATGAAATGTGAATCTTGTTCGACGTCCGACTACGTTTGGTGTAATCGATGGACCAAATTACTTCCAAAGCTCGCAGTAAAAAAGGGTAGCAGGGAGTTTTTTGTTGTTCATATATATATATATATATATATATATATATATATGAACAACAAAAAACTCCCTGCTACCCTTTTTTACTGCGAGCTTTGGAAGTANTACTTCCAAAGCTCGCAGTAAAAAAGGGTAGCAGGGAGTTTTTTGTTGTTCATATATATATATATATATATATATATATATACCATAATTTATTGCATCCAAGCGAAACCGCCAGTGCCTATAACACAAGCCATTAAAAGTTTTTTCGAGAATTCGAGAATATGCAAATATGGGATAGGAATGGTGTATATTCAACGAAAGCTGGTGGTGACGGCGTCTAGCTGAACCTCACACAACTAAGGCTTGAGAAGGTGAACAAATCAGGTCAGGGGCGTCGTTTAGTTCGCTTATCGGATCCTTCATCGCCAATCGACAAACTTTTATGGGGCACTTCGAAAACTGTTTCCAAGAAAGGATCTTCAACAACCAAGCTATTAACAAAAATACTACCTTCGGGAAGTTCGCCACTTCTATAACTACAGCCTTTCACGAAAATGTGTACATGCAAATAATTGATTGTTATTGTTCGTAATAAAAAAAGAGTTCCAGTGGACTTCGAACACTTTAATTTTGCCGTTTAAACCTGTTATTATTTGTCATTCATCCTAATATAATGGTAGAGAACATAATACAAGGGAAATAAAGATGAGTTCTCCAAAAGTAGGACTTTTTGTACACAGCTACTGGAATGCTGACGAGGCATATAATTCCGCAAATGATTAATCAAGCAAAGATTATTGATCAGTGTCGAAGTTAAGCAAAACCCGGTCTTGGGATTTTTTTACAAAAGATGTTTTTTATGGCACATTTTTCTCGTCCACTTGACGCGCCCATATCTGAACACTGCAGAGAGGATAAAGAGAAGTTTGGGAAAAAAAAAGCATGTAGTTTAAATTAAATTACATGTGGAAGTGGAAGACAACAGTAGCTTAAAATTTAGTGGCTAAAATTTGATTTTCCTTCTTTAAAACGACTACACGCATTGAGTTCAATGCAAAAGTGGACCGAAATAACTCAACAAGTTCAATAAGTACTTCAAGAAGTATATTCAGCTCATAGTGAACTATAACCTTCGAAAATAGCCTTAGAATTTAAGGAACATTACGAGATATAACGTCTAGTACGGTTCAAACGTCAACTCCGGTTTCTTTCTATATTTTCAAATCAAGAGCAGCGAGCTGGACAAGCTCCATTTCGTCCAGCAGGACATAATGTTCACCGAAGTAGTCAATGCGAGTAGTAGTAGCACACACATTAAGAATTCCTTGTTGCGACAACGATTTTGTACAATTGAATAATAATTTGAGGTTAAAGTTACGTGTTAGACAAATTACGTGCACTTCTAGAGCGATAAGGCTAGCTCGGTCTGTAAATTTCTCAGTTCCCAAACACTCATCGACAGCACCATCATGAACGCGTTTAACTTCTTTATGCAGGAACTCCTTCGTAAAATTCTTGCTGCAAATATATCTAGGTGCTATTCTTCCTTTTTGCTACTTTCCTTACTCCACTTTCGACTATTCCCAAATCTCTGTAACACCTTTACTCTGTGCCATGCAATTTCGTGTTCAGCTACAAGTCTTCAGACAGATTTTTCATGAGGTGGCAGTGATATGAGGACAAAATAAATAAAAAACAGCTCTGTAGAAATTTCTATTAATCTTAATTTGAACCGAGTTTTCACACTTTCTGCCTTTGCGCGTTTTCATCGCATGTATGAAAGCACTCCTATTTGCTAGGATTTTCAACGTGTTCGACATGGACATTGCTTTGTCTTGCACAGTCAGAAAAGTGCTCGATTGCTGTCTACTGAAACTCACCACGGAAAACTTCGCGTGCAAGCAATCTCACCACTCTCGTCGACATATACGCACTGTTCAGCGAGACCGAAGAACGGGCCCTGGTCAGATTAAGTGATTGTTTTTGCGTTTTCTGTTTTTTTATACTCATCGTAATTACTTTCGAGCAGCAAATGCGCTACTATCTTAATTCTTGTCGACTGGGTGCAGATCCTACACCTCACTCCGTCATTCTCACGCTCCTACATCACCCGCGGCAACTACCACCCCCTTGCTTTCCGATAGTGTGTTGGCACTTCCAGCATACACGCTCACAGCAGCTTATTAAGCTGTGTTATTCTAATCGATCACAGTGTCGGCTCATTCATAATGTTCGTTTTCTTAGAGATTCTCAGGCTGTCACAGAACATCCAAACAACGGTAAGTTTTTCTTCGGGGATTAGCACCTACAAATGAAGGCGTCAACGGACATTACACACATACACATACACGTACAGACATACATTTCTGTATGTACACAGGATACATCATAAGAGCAGAAAGCTGATGTGATGGTCATTGCTGGAGCCACTGTAGAGTTTCACTAATTGTTTCAGTGATTGCTCGGAGCGTACTGCTCATTAAGAGAATACCGTTGATGAGGTCTGGCTGAAGAGTAAAAAAAAATCAATTTCGTAGTTGTGACATGAAAGGTGAACAAGTTTACGAACGAGGAAACTGTGTGTCCAATTTGAGTTTCTGAGTTTCCAACTCGAGTTTTCTGAATCTGTCGTGAAAAAACTCGCACTCACTGTGTGACGCCGTGACGATTGAGCATCGCTTAGAAGTATAGAAGAGGCATCAAATAGTCTTGCATGTCATCCACTCATGTAAGGTAATAAAGAGGAAATAATGAGATCTGATGGGAAGCATTACTACTCGGGAATGATGCATGCCACATCATTTCCATTTCTCCACAACCCCAGCTACCAACTAATGAGATCAAACAAAACAATTTCACCTTGATAGACTTTTCTGTAGCCATGAATTTATTTCACAGATGCTACTCAAGAAAATATTTTCATGCATTTCTACTACTGCGTACACTTAACCGGTGGCTAGGCAATGATTGGCACAATTAAGAAAATTATTAACTTTAAGACAAGAAGTGCAATTTCCGGTGATAAACGACCTGTATAAGATTTGCTAAGCCAACCACTGACTACTTATAACCCATAGAAAGAGTTGCGTGCGTGTCTAGGAGTGAATGAGTTCAAAAAGACATAAATATTATGAGCTCATGAATACTTGCGGTTTTTCGCCTCATTGTTTTAGCAACTGATTTGTCTTTATCCACAACCAGACTATAACACGCTGTTATAAACCGGTGGTAATTTTATGGGTAGTCAAATATCCGCAGAAGGCAGAAAGAAACCATATTCAGTGACGAATGGCTGCCGACTTTGAATACCTACGAGCGAACACTGGCAGGTTAGGAAAACCTGCCAAATCCTTTCACTACTCTTAGAGAAACCCTAACAATGTTAAACACAACGTGTAGCTAAAGAGAACTTCGGTAGACGAACCGGTTTCGGGTACGGTGCGTCTTGTTTGGTGAACTGTATGACGTCACGTCGGTCCTGTTGCGAGTCGATCGACGAACGCAGATAGGCAAACGTATTGCAGAAGTCCTCCTCGCACTTGCAAAGCTGCAAACCACATCTATCGAAGTGTGGGAAACTTTAACCTTTCCAACGAAAAACATCATTTCCGACAACTGTTAAGTATTGTCGCATCTACTCTTGGCTGCGGTATAATGTTAATAACAAATGGATTATGAAGAGCACAAAATCCATCTCTAAAAAACAGGTTTTTTTCTTTTTCTGAATTTTTGTTTAGTTCTTAACTGATGTTTCTTCTATAAGACACTCGTGCTCCTATGGTGGTGCAGGAAAAATTATTTTAAGGTATATATAAAAAGCTAGAAAACTAGCTGAGAGAAACGCAGGGCAAGGCCTCCGTGCTATAGCGTGTAATGCGCGAGCCCCTGAAAGGGAAATCGTGGTTCGATCTGGCGCGTGGTCCAAGTTTTGCGAATACTCTAACTACGTTATGGTTGTAATTCACATCAGACCCTGCCGTGAAAAATTATAGTAGGTAAAAAATAAAGTGAAATATTTTAAGGAGCATACGTTTACCTCTTGCCAGTTGTCAACTCGTTCCTCGCACGTAATTTGCCCACCGTCCAAATACGGTACGTCTCCTGTTGAACCACAATGTTGTCGCAATTTAGGAGTGTCACCTTGAATTGATCTGGATTTTTTTTTATCATTATTGTTTGCGTTCCTTATCAAATTTGGAATCTTATTCAAGATGGAATTATCATTTGGAAGTTCCGGAAGCACGTTCTTGAATTGTAACCTTTTGAGAATAAGGTGGGAAGGAAAAGGCATGAAGCGCTCATTGTTGATGTATTCCTCAGGGACGCGGCGTGCATTCGAGTCCATCAATCATCGTAGAGGTGGTTGAATGCATATTTCGCCTTTATAATGAGTTGCGACATCCTATCGATGTATTAAGTCAGTATTCTCATCCTTCAGTGCTCATCCTGTGTAAATTTCTCGACAAGGTAATGATAGATGGGCTTCGTTTAACCAGGCAGTGTGCTCGAAGTCAAGACTATATGTGAGAGAAGCTGATAGGGGCACCTATAGATACACTACTACAGTGCAAAATTTGTAGAGAGTTGAGTGGTACAGATCAACATTTCTCAGACCAGAAAAGTGCATCTTGATTATCGTCGCAATGCGTTTCATCTTACATGAAAAATGTGATAAATGGTGGCTACGGTTGATTCTTTAGTGTTCAGCGCGTTACGGAAAGATTTCTACCACAGCATGCTTCTGTTTGAGATCACCAGTCGTTCGAGTTTCAAAGTGCTTTTTATGCGGAAATCACGGTTAGGGTCTGTGATTCAGTTATGGGACACTTCGGTGTGCTTTTATGTGAAAAAAAAACGGTTGGGGTCTGTGATTCGGTTATGGGACACTTTTCAGTGAGCTTTTTATGCTGGCCTAGCACGTAGGCATTATCGTGTTTAGGTTTCACTACGGCATTGATTCGCTCTGCAAATTCCCTGCCTCAAACAACTTCAAGACGGCGGTGATGCGAGCATTATTCGTTTATCAAAGACGAGCTCACCATAGCGTTGCTGGCGTATAAATCCGAATACATCCACATATCAACAACGCCTTCGATGTCTCCCTTAAATAACGGAAAGAATTGTTCGCGCACTTTTCTGTTCGATAACGAGGCATAACCACAATCTCTACGTCCATTGAAATTTTTACAACATCAAAAGGAGGAACATGGAGTCCAAGTTGGCGATTTCCATTTACAGCACTTGAATAGACGAGATTATACCCATATGGTAGTGGTCCTTCAACTCTTGTCGCATTCGTTCCATCTAACGGTAACAATGGATAGAATGCCTGCTCAGGTGTCTGTGGTTGCAATGTTTCAGGGTATTGCTACATATGTCGTTCGCTTAGTAGATTTCTGTAAAGCTTTCGCAATTTTCAGCTTTCAAAAGTCTGAAAGAATGTCGAATGTTGTTAAATGTTTAGATATTTCAAGTAGTTGTACAAGATCATTTACAGCTATTGTTAATCGGAACTGAAGCATTACGATCCTCGTAAGAAATGCGTGTCACTGCGAGCGATGTGGTTAACTGTAGAAATATCCATTGGGATTATTCCTTATTAAATCGACGATGGCGTCGAGGACGCGTGTGGCGCAGTGGTCGGAGTCTCCCTGCAACACATACGTCGAATCGATCTCCGCGTCTGTGCCCCACCAAGTCTTCCATCCCTCCGGGGTCGGCAAATTGGTATCAGACTTTTCTGAGAGGATAGCAGCACTGGCTTGACACATCGGTAGGCCACCGTGAGTCACTGTAAAGGCTAGATATGCACTCAATCACTTCCAACAACGTTTAATGAAGCCGAGTGCATGGGGCACCCCTCAGGGATTGATCAACGCCGAGAGCTTTGTCCTTTTAAATCGTCGATTGCGACTTGCGCACTTTTACAGCTAACTAAAAATGCCATGGGAATTCTAGATGAGCAGAACACATGGAGAACATACGAGTCATCACATTTCTCCACTCTTTCTGGCTTATTAAGTTTCCTTTGCGCTAAATAATATCAGCTAACTGAATCAAATAAACACATGATTTGTGTGAAGGATCTAGAGATTCCAGCCAGATTCTCGATAAGTTAAGTTTTTTATAACTTTGTACGAAACATTAATCGACATTGCTAAACTTCCAATAAGGCTTTTATGACCTTCAAGCAATGTTTTCTGTCCCTAGAGGGGGTTTTTCTTCTGGGTGAATTATGATTTCAGCATACCCATCGGAGTGACGTAAAAATGTTCTGCAGCAACGGAATTTTGCACTATTTTATAAGAAAACCCATGATCAACAGTCGGTCGCGAAAATTTCTTGGCCCATTCTACTTAGAATGGGACCAAGTGGATTATATGAAGGCATGAGGCTAGAAAAAAATAACCGTTTCGGACAGAAACGGTGTGGGTATTGGTAGATAAGAGAAGCCTAGGAAATTTTTTTAGTTAAACGAAAGTGAACGTTAGTAGCTATCCAATTATTAGTGAAGTTTAGGGCTTCTATTTTGCACCACTCGAATGTTATTATGTTATTAGGCCTAAATACCGGAAGCAGAGGAACATTAGGATCTCCGATGCGTGCAAGTTGATGAATTCTTATGATAACTGAGGAAATCAATTCAAATCTGAGGTTCAAACAAAACAGAGAATCAAAATCGAGAGCACAAATGAGAACGGCTTTTCTCTAGGACTTATAAAAGAATAATATGGACGACATAATTTTTTGGAGCTACAATTGAGAGTACGTTCCACCACTCTAACTTTTGCATTGGCTGACTAATGACTTTGTCCGAAGGGCCGGAGAAGTTCATAGAGTTGGAAGAACTCACTACCATCCTCTCGTCTCAAGCCAATGAAACAGAAATCTCCTTGGCATAGAAGATTGTCGTCGCACGAGTCACGGTCGCAGAAGCACTTCACCTGACCACCTGAAAAGAAGAACCGTGAATGAAAGCAGGATGAACTCTAGGTGGCAGCCTGTGCAGACTGTTTCATAATCATAATCTCTTCCATTACGTACGTGTGCGTGTTTCTCCACCATAATTCGCATGGTTCAGCAGCCATTCTTCCTATTCTAAATCTCATGCTGCAGGAAAGAAATAAAAGAACCTTTAGATTCAAGAGAGCAGAACTGCTGAATATCTTTCTGCCTCGTATATTAGGAACTATTACCCATAAGTTATGTCTAGAATTGCAGGCACATTAGTAGCAAGTTCAGCAGAATGAAACGCAACTCTTCAAGAAAAAAGAAGTACCTGTGCGAATTTCTTAAAGCGTGGGCGGGGCAATGGAATATCAACACTCTGCCCTTATCCGAACTTTTGAACATTTTTCACTATTTTATCATCACAGAAACAGGAGACGGACTAAAAAGTTTTGTGGTTACTTCAAGAGGAATCATGATGTTAACGGAAATTGAGAAACGTCTTCACACCCATCGTTCTATTGCTTTATGGATGCGTAAAAGTGATTGAGTTGCTAGCAAGGAATACATTAATGTTGAATAGGCGAGAACGAAGAGCTTTCATCCATCTACTAGGAGTAGGGGAGCGGCTGCCGCCATCGCCAACGATGGGTTTGCGATCATTTTCTTCTGTTGGACAGTCAATCGCTAGTTCAGCCTACTCGTTAGTTGAGATTGCAAAGTTGTAAAGCTCATCTATGCGCGAGGCAGTGTTTTCTGTACTGCGAGCTCATTGATTTACCTGTTGAAACTTTCTGAGGCTTAATTTGCCCAGGCAAAAGTCGAATCAAGACAGTTTACGAGTAATCGAGTCTTTATTGCATTGCATTTCACACTGCATGAAAGATGACTTTTAACATAAAGAATCACCTCCATTTCCATTACAACGACAGTTCATTCAAACATAATGCATTTGCATATCAGCATAAATTTCACGGTTCTCAAAAGATGAAGGATAAAAAAGGATGGAGCTCTCAGCGCTGATCAATCTCTGAGAGATGCGCCATGCATTCGATCTCATTAAGCATCGTTTGGAGGTGACTGAATCCATATCTGGCCTTTACAACGACTCGTGGCGGCCCACCGATGTATCGAGCCAGTGCTGCTATCCTCTCAGACAAGTTTGATGCTAATTTGCCGACCCCAGAGGCATGGAAGACTTGGTGTGCCATGGGCGCGGAGATCGATTCCACGTGTGTGTTGCAGGGCGCGTCCGACCACTGCGCCACACGCGTCCTACCGAGTCCCAAAAGATAAACCACATATTGCGAAGCGTACTCGCACTTAGAATTCCTCCATCTTTGATGGAACCGCAAGTGATGCAGCGAAAAAACATCAAGTTATGAAAAAATTTCTTAACACCTCTGCCTTTATTGCTGAAAGTCTACCTGACGGTTACACTGATGTTAGCACAGACTGAAATGGCAATGAATTCCCTCCTCTGGCTACTTAAACGTTACCAACCAACCTCATAAATATCTTTGAAGATCTTGAAGACCTACTAAAGACTAAGCTATTTCTTTTTTTTTTACAACCCACATTATTTGTCGTGCCAATTCTCCAGCACTTCTTGTATCCGATTCGCTTTCTCATACTCATCCATCACCAATGATGGCCTTTGAACTTTTGCGTCGTGTTTCGGCTGCTGCAAAGGTCTTCGATTTGCTTATGAATGGAGTTGAATGCTTGTGGAGTCGATTATTCGCAATTATGGGATAGCCGTGCTAGAGCGTTCCCACGTGGATTGCTGCTGATCCAAGACAAATCTAGCAACAATCTCCCGACTATGGAAAGATGAGAGTTTTGACGTGCTCGTCAATAATGCTCGTTGCCGAGGTATTTCGGGAAGGTCAAGTCATTCTTTGCCATTTAAACGTTCATTGGTGCCCACTGCATGGCCTGTTAAAAGGTGTGCATCGGAAATTTTAAAGCAATTTTAACCATTTAAAAACCGATTTAAAGGTAAAGGATTTTAAGCTCTAAAACTAAAACGACGCCGAATTCTTTTTTGCATTCGGATAGTTTGAAAAGACCTCAATCAACTGGTTTCTCTAGAAATGACTTCCTATAGTTCCAGCATCGTTCTTGTATTTTAGTTTTAAAATTACCGACAGACATTTTGATTTGTCGACCTTGTCTAGAAGACAGTTACACTAAGGAAGGTTTAGTTTCACCAAACATAATGAAAAACGATTCTTATTCAACAAGAATTGTCTGCCGTCACATTGAGGTAAAAAATCGAGTGAAGCTCGTGAATCTAGTGAATAACGGCTTCTCCCTCGGTGTTTGACGAATGACATTGCGAAATGTTTGTTTGTTAAAAGCCATCCAGTGAGGGCCTTGTTGCGGCTCGTTTATACGGAACGATCGGAGAGCAGCACGGTGGCTTAGCGCCATGCCATCGACCGTCTTTATAGACAGTCAGTCTCACTTCGTAATGGATGGAGTGGTGTGTTAATTGTCCATCTGAACATCGTGCCACGGATGCTCGGTATCGCTCTCTCAGCACCAAAGTGACGGCGCACGGTTGAGGGTCATATGGATAGCTGAACCGCACCAGCTCATGACAGTTGGTCTGCGCTGCTCCGAAATGCGATCATTTATACTGCAGTGTAATTCGAGTTATATTACGCTACGCTAGCAATGCCATAGAACATGAAAGAGCACAGAGTTCCGTCCACACATGGACGAGTTCTAACTGCAAATCAGCCAGCAGCTGAAGTGACAGCGCTTTTCTTGAAAACACTTTTCTCTGGCTCTACGAAAAGTAAAATGTCCACACTTTGGCTGGTTGGCTTATCACATATAAAATACTTTCAAAAAAGTTACAACATCGTAAAAGATAATCGATACGTCAAAATTATATTGCTCTGGTTTTTCTGATCTGTTTCGGAAATGGCAAATTGACGGAGGGTCCGAAGAAAAAAACAATCTGTCCGTGTACTCGATGAATTGTAAAAGCACATCAGAGACGAGTCTGAACAAAGCAAGGGAAAAACTTCCAACACATTGCAACAAAATTCAGCCACACATATATGGGCAAACAGCATGAGCACCGCGAGAAAATGAGCAAATCCGAGACCGTTTTCTGGCACTTCTGTCAAAGTACAAGTCCAATGGCGTCTCTGCGTTTATCCCAGGATTTTGGAAAGCCCAACCCCAACAAAGTTCATGCTTTGGAAATTGCTATAATGACGGATTACGTGAAGAAAGGGAACATTAGCACCCACGTTCCATTTGTTTCACACTCACAGTGTAACGTCTGTTCATCACGTAGAATTCTTGTCTCTTTCGTATTTCTTAGACCAGAATGGCTAGGTTTGCAGTATAACCCTCCCTAAAGGATAGAACTGCCCAACTTGTTCTAGAAAGCATCAAGGTAGAAGCTGGAGGATCCATAAACCTTGGAATATAATTACATGCTACCTAAACATAAATTTCACAGATAGCATACTATTGTAATTGTTAAACAGCTGTGAGTCTCCGGTCGTTCTTAAACTTTTTTAGGATATAGGCGAGTGTAAGGTAAATTCCATTCGAAAAAGGAGGTTCCGCCTTCAAGAGGAGTGTTGTTTACACACAAGTTCGCTGTGATTAAGCGGTCGACGAGCATGTCACGGATACGAGGCTCGCAACGAGAAGGTCTTCCTCAAGTCTAATAAGACAGAATTTGCATTTTGAATCGGCATGATCGTGTGGAATCATCACTGTAAGCGCTTCCACTCCATATAGGAGTTCCAAGAACATTGATACTAAGCGCGAAAACCAGTTTAAAATTCGTCACTGATTCACGGGAACTTCCTTAGTTATGAACCGTATCGAACCAACACATGTTTAGTCAATGCTCATTATAATTACATTTACAGGTACTGTCAGATGTAATCTGAGAGGAGGATCCGGACTGCGTGCCACCGAAATGATTCGCCCTGACGTTGCATGTGGGCTGGACAATGCTGATTAAGCTATATGCTACACTGGCGTGCGTGGAGTTTAGACTAAACGCCCTCATGTCTTTATCGCATCCGGTCGTTCCTCTCGCACCCAAGGGATATTTTTTGCAAATTTGCGACCAAGTCATATCACATGCGTGAAAATTGTCGATATTTTCATGCACTCTGGTGGTGCCAATATTCCGGTTTCGAAGAGCGATTTTACGGTTGGCAGCACAATTCGAACCACTGGAATGAGACAGATCATAGAAAGGGAACCTCCGACTGTATAGTTTTCACGAAGTGATAAGTTAGAACAAAAAAGAAAGCAGGAACGAAAATTAAATAGTTTCCCACCACGAGTACGGGTTTTTTTTCGCAATTTTGTCTTAGGTTTTTATCGTAATCATGTCATTTACTTCATTAAGTAGGAATAGCTTTCATATTACAGCATATTCAGGATTTCCGTTTTTCTTCACGTAGCGAAAAAAATCCATGATGCAGTGATTTTTAGCCAGATAAGCGCTGGTAAAGGCAAGCAATATTTTTTGGTTTGGAACAGCTTCCCAAGGGGCTCACAGCGATGAACGAATTTCGATGGCCACAGATAAGCATAGGATTAACGCATGCAACTGCTGCTGTCAAAGGAGCTCAATCAATTCAGCACAGAAAAGCGACCTTTTGTTCTCCATCACAAATTCAAGCTGCGAACTACATGTGCTGGAACAAGTTCTCCACAAACGATCTTTTCTTTCTGAAAAAAGTGCACGACGAAACATACGTAATGGTTTTTTTTACTTAAATCGAAAACGGAGTGGTGGAGACCTTTATAAAGGTTTCCGATCACCATCAGACGTGACTTGTTTAGAAAGAAAAAGGACAAATTTCGTAAGCTTCAGAAGAAGATGGGGAATTCAGACAGGCTGAAAATTGGTCGGCCAGCATTTTCGGGCCAGCACACCTCAGTTATCGCCGCAAAATCGGTTAGAAGATAGCTGCAGTGGGACATGGGCATTGGCGAGAATTACGAGAAATAAGCATCATTCAGAAGATTGA